ATTTTTGCAAAAATGTATAATTCTTTAAGCTTATCGCATTGTCTACTTCCTGGTTCGGTAAAGGGATCCTACGAAGCCACGCCCACAGAAACATCTGTCTTTACCAGCTGCCACCACAAGTTAATTTAGCCACCAGTTAATCCACAACAACGGCACTTTGCGATGAAACAGACAAACTACATACAAACACATGAAGCAGGAAGAATTAAGCTTCTTCTCATCGCCAAAAACACATAACCGCCATTTCTGTTTAACGAAACCAGCAGTTTTTTTATTACCTGATAATGTTTGATGTGCTTAAAGTCCCAACATTTACAGTACTATGCTCAAATATATCCATAAATACGTTTGGATTAATTGAACCGGAAGGTAACAAGTGACTTCCGGTTGAGTGTAACGGGGGCTAAATGAAGCTACCGTCATTGAATTACAGCGGTCTGAGCTCTACATGCTAAACCAAAATGTTTCAGAAAAAGCTCAGTGATTACATATTATTTTAAATACACACCATGTGTCCGATGAGCTGCGGAAATGAATCACAAATGTTTCTTTACCGCAGTGACGAGAAACGGATGAATCCCACCTTGATATTCTTCTATGTGGTTTATTTGAGCAGCGTTTTAGACCGCTTACCGCCCCCTTCTGACTCGGAGGGTGAACCAGAGCTTATGCAACATCATAAATACTTTGGGAACTCCTGGATTCTCGCTGTTTAAGCGGAAAAAGCAATTCATACATTTCACAAATAAAATAGTACATATGAAGGTACATTCTTGTACAATGATTATAGAATAGGCTCATGAAAAACTTAAAATTCCATCAGACAACATGTTGGCCATCATGATAATTACCATTATAATTCTTGATGTTATAATACTATAATTATACTAATTATACTTTTAAATACAAGTACTAATTGTTGAATTATTAATACGTCATCCGTCCGTCTATCCTTCTCGGTTTCTCTTGTCATGAATATTCATGTTCCTCCCTGGAAAAGATGCTCATATCTGCTTTGTGCTACTGCAGCATAATTACAGTCTTATTGTGAAATGTATATTTGAGCTGCAGCTTTTAAGTGAGGAGTTTGGGCCAGATGTGATAGAGCTCATTTGCATGAGATTCCCAGGGAGGAAGTGGCTGTGGGGAGCTGGAGGCATTTCCTGTCTGCCTGTGAGAGGCCCCGCCTCCACTAATTAGCTGTGGAGCTCGTAACTGGACAGAATTTGTCTCTCTAAGTGATTTCATGACTGTCAAACAAACCAAATTACTGAGAATGATACTTTTCATTTGGTGAGCATCAAACAGCCTCTCCACTCACCCTCCATATGGACGCCTGATGCAGGCTCACCATTAACCTACCTGGGCCAGATGTTTCCTGCAGCCGCCGCCATGGCTGCTCATTTATTCATTAAGAGCTTTAATTGTGTCGCTGATTGACATGAGGTGCATCTGATGGAGAATTGTTATTAAGTAATAATCCGTTAGTCCCGTTAACTCCACATGCCACCAGTACGGCTGGCAACATTTATGGGGAGAGACCAGTAATGTTGCAACATAGCAGATCCCCCAATCTGAAGCAGACACTAGCTCTGCGGAGGACGCCACCTAGAGGCCACAACCTGCAGTTCAGCTTCGCCAGTCTGACCAGTCCCTGCAGATCTTCATGTGTTAAACATGCAGATAATTAAACTGAACTGGACGTCCAGCAGAAGACATGGAGTTAATTTTTATGACAGTGTCACTGCAAGAGGCTCACATTAGGTCAACAGGTCAGTTTTTATTATTAAATACCATAAAACTGAAACATCTGGAGATAATAAAACATGTCAGCTGTGTCCTGTTAATTTCATGCTGTTAGCATTAGCTGCGCCTGTATTAGCATTAACTCCTGAATGTGGTTCTGTTAATGTTTCTGCCTTCTTTAAACTACATTATGTTTTACACACACTTTTATCTAAACATAGAAGATAAAAGTGTCTTCTATGACACTTTTATCTTGTGTCACTTTATGACACTTGTCATAAAGTGACACACTTGTCACTTTATGACAAGTGTGTCACTGTGTACATAAGTGTAACTTTTATGTACACAGAAAGTTACATAAAAGTACATACTTTTATGTACTTACATAAAAGTACATAAAAGTTACACAGAAACTTTTATGTAGACTTCAGAGTCAGTCTATGGCGCCACCACCTAACGTTGATTATTTTCACACTTCAATTTAGTCATGGAGAGCGGAACAAGTCATGTGACATCATACGAAGAACAAAGGATGGAACCTGTGACGTCACTGTGACATCACTGAGACTTTATCTTAATGACAAACACAGCTTCTAGTCAGTATGTCCAGTTAACCTGATCAGAGAGCAGAGCAGATATTTTTCTGTGCATTTTCACCAAACTAGCTTAACAATGGCAGAAGACGATCAACAGACGGCAGAAAACGGTCAACAGACGGCAGAAGACGATCAACAGACGGCAGAAGACGATCAACAGACGGCAGAAAACCGTTACCTCCTGGAGCATGGCAGAAATGCTGAATCTGTTAAACCTCCAGAACAGGTACAACTGGATAAACTGGTGCAATATATGGACGACTTTGCAAAAGGCAGAAAGCTTAAATTCAAACAATACTGGAGGAGTGAGTGGCAAATGCAGTACGAAGAAGACGAGGTGTTCTGGAAAAAGGAAAATCTTTCATTGGAAGTTAAAATTGATGAGCTTAAAAACAAAAATGCAGCACTTCAAATTAAATACGAAGAGTCTCTTAAGAAAAATGAGGCATTAAAGGTTCAGTTTAAGGAGCAGTTGGCAGCCAAGGAATATGAGATTGCTGCACTATGTAAGGAGCATGAGACTGAAAATAAAAGGCTGTTAAAACTGTACAGTACTGAAGCCAAAACCTTTGAAGCCTTCAGGAATAATGTGGTGACCAAAGACGAACATGTTTTCAAATTACAAAATGAAGTCAAAAACTATAAGCAAGCCATTTTGGAGAAAACCAAGAAGTTGGAAGCATCTTTGGCGCAGAAGGAAGCAGAAGTCAAGAAGATAAAAATGGACATAACACAGCAGTCTGTAATTTATGAGATTAAACTACAGACAGAGAAATCAGCATCAAAAAAGGCAAAGTTGGCCAAGGAGAAAGTTGACGAAAATATCCAAATTCTCAAAACTGATATTTCTAAAAGTAGAGAGAAACATAAAGACTTCAAGGCAAAGATATCTGAGCTCGAGACCAAAGTCCAAGACGAGAAGAAGAAGTTGAAAGACACAAAAATATTAAACAAAAGAAACATTGAGGAAATATACCAGATTGTTGAAAATCGGAACCGTCGCATCGATGATCTCCGTATCAAAGCTGAAGCCAGAGACAAAGTTTTAGCTAAACTGCAGATGAAAAACAAGGAGCTTCAGGGAACCATAACGTGTTTGGGACAGGAAATCACCGGCCTGAAACGAGAGAGAGAGAAACTTTTCAAAGAGATTGAAAATGAAAAGTCTAAAAGCGGAACGTTGAAAGTCAGTCTGAATGAAAGAGAGGAAATGAATAGAAAGTTGGAGGCCGAGTTGGAGGAGGAAAAGGAAAAACATGACAAACACAAGAAGAAAGTTCAATCAAAAACCCTTGAGCTCCAACTTCTCAGCGAGAAGCACAACACCCTGAAGGCCAGCCATCGCGGCATCAAGCCAGAGGTCAATAAATGCCACCGTCGCATCAAACAGCTGGAGAACAAGATCATCTCTATGCAGTGTGACATCCAGAGCTGTGTCGATGTGTTTCATTACCCCAAAAAGTTTTTACCCTTCTTCGTTCGGCTGAAGGAAAGACATCTGGACAACAGTGCCGTCATGGAGGCCGACAGCCACTTTAGCGAGTTTCATCGCTACATCAGGAAGCTCACACGTACATTCGAGGGAACCATCGCCAGTCAGAAGAGAGACAGGGACAATCTGTCCAAGATGTTGTATAAGTTGGAACGCACCCCTGTAGAATTGGCAAGAGCCAACTTGGCTACTGAAAAATACAGCAAATTAGAGGACGAAAAGCGCGAGCTGGAGCTGAAGCTGAGAAATGCAGAGAAGGAGCTTCACGCGCTAAAATTTCCTCCCAAATCCAAGGTCGACTGTTGGCTCAACAAGTTTGTCAAACGAAGTAACAAGGTCCACCCAGCAGCAGACTGCAGCCAGGGAGAGGAGCTGCCCCCGGCCAGGCCGCCCCCTGCATTTGAGACGCCCCAGAAGGTTTCCGCAGAGCCAGCCAAGGCTGAAGAAGATTCACACGAAGCCGTCTCCGACAGCCGCTGCCTGCCGACGCCTGAAACCTCTTCGCCGACTCCCATCCCAGACTTCATCAACCATCTTACAGACGACATTTAGATGTGCAGCTGGTTCAGAGGAAGTAACCCCTTAACTAGCAGCCTCCACGTTAACCCCTTAACTGGCTGCTAGTTAAGGGGTTAAATGATGCTGGCAACTTTATTTTTGTGATGTCACATTTAGAAAATGTGTTTTTCACCATGCAAGTTTTCTTTCAATTAATCAAAAAACCATATTCAACAAATCAATTCAAAATGAAAACTAATATCTCTGAAGTGGGTTTTCCCTGGATGATCCAGTTTTCTCCCAAAAAACAAAAAAAACAACAATCTGTTAAGAAGGAGAATGTGGTGGATGCTCCTACCACCACATCCTGTTAGTATTTTTTTATTGCTATAGCTTATAGTCTGTCTAAGTTGATTTCATTTAGACATATTTTCTAATGGGTGCACTTTAGTTAATGTCTGTCTGAATGGTTTATTTACACTTGTTTTTGTTTGAGGTGCTGCTTAACTGGAGGAAACTGGATCAAACCATTTTCTGAAAGACTGAGGGGGGGGAGACTTCAAGTTGATTTTATTTAATTTTGTCATTTAAATATCCACTTATTGTTTGTGTTAAGTTAAAGTTAGTTTTGCTTTATTTGTTTCACAGGATGCTTAAGTTAATTTTGTATTTATTTGTTCTTTTGTTATGTCGTACCTCCCTCATGTGGTAGATTTAGGTAACTCCACCATATTTAAGCAGCCTTTTGTTCTTTGTGTTCAGTTGACCTCAGTTAGTTTGGATCCAAATTTGTTACTTATCCTTTGATTTATTCTTGCTTTAAATTTTTATGCTTTATTAATGATTTTTTTTGAAGAATTAAATTGAACTTTTTTCTACTTTGAACATTTTTTGTCCTCGTTTGCGTCTGGTCCCTCACAGAAAAAAATATGATCTGGTTCTAAATTAATGTTTTATTTGAGCCGTAAAAATGACATTCTGTTTACAGGTGTCTCACTATTTCCATCCAACCATGTTTCTGTTGAAACCACAGCAACACGTAACAAGATGATGCACAGTAACAGAGTCAGGTTCAAAATTGTTTTCCTGACAGATCAGATGTTTATTACAGTTTAAGTGACTGATGTCCTTGGGTTGTTAGTTAGCAGCAGATAATTGAGTTGACAGTAAAAGAGACAGTAATGCTGATTTTATTTATCTATTTAATATGGACAAGTATTTAACATGTTCTATCGATTAGCAGGAGGAAACTGGTACCCATCAGCTACCAGAAGCAGCTGATGGGTACCAGT